AGTGATGGGGTTCAATTTACTTCATTATACTAATATATGTATATATATATATACATATACACTGTGTATATATATATATATATATATAGCAGAGCTGTATTTGTGCACTTTAACACAAAAATATGAATATTTTATTTGTTTACCTAATATGACCATTAACCAAAATCAGAGAACTGCAAACATGCAAATGTTTGAAATATTAACTTCCTCAGAGAGGGGTTTTGTTGACAAACTTTTGGAGATCCCTGCAATATATGAACAAACATCGATAAACATGAAGTCAGCTATGACATTAAATGCAGATGTCCAGAATCAACAGTTACTGAAGGTCGCAGGATATGATGATGGAGTAGCTAGTGTTTCACAGCTATACATCACCAGTAGCTTGCATAATTATTTGTTTCATACATGGTCTAATTGTTTGAGAGGTGCTTTCCCCCCAAATACAGAAGCATGGTTTGCAAATTTATTTACACGACATTTGTGAATAAGCTAAAATGGGATAAAAATAGGACATTTGAAAGAGAAAAAATAAGAATGAGTGAGAGTCTATTTTAGTCACACAATAGCATATAGTCATCATCAAAGCTGAAAGATACCTTTTTAAAGCCACAACACATTCAATATCCTGAATTTTCGCGTCTTATTTTGGCTGTGATGTTACAGTTCAGGCAGTACCTGCATCACCGTTCAAGAAGAGCAGGACGAGACAGAAGAGGGAAAACACATGCAGTGCGGCACAGAGACAGAAACGGCGAGCTCTTATATGAGCTCCAACTGCAGGCTGGTGGATGCTGGGATCCAGAAGAACATATCGTTTGATGGCAAACCTGTGACCCCCACCAGCTGGACAGGAGGTTTCTCAGAGATCCTCTCACTGAGAGATCAGCTCAAGCAAACAGAAGACAAGGCCACACACGAGCAGCGAGAGGTACACCGCCCTGACATCCATTATTCATATATGAGAGCTTTCATAAGAAAATGTATTCTAAACTAACAGCGTAATAATATCTGTTAGTGTGACGGACTAAGGAATGAACTAGAAAATCTGCGGGAAATGTATGAGACCAGTCAGAAGGAGCGAGCCGAGCTGGAGCTGGAGTTACTGCGCTGCAGGGAAGAGCTGGAGAGAGCTGCTGATGTCAAAGAGGTACACTGATCATATAAAAATAGGCATGATCAGTACGATTTTTAATGTTTTGTTTTTTAAAGAAGACTCTTATGCTGATCAACGCTGCATTTATTTGTTCAAAATAAAAAAAAAAAACCATTGTGAAATATAATTACAATTTAAGATAATGGTTTTCTATTTAACATCCTGTAAAATGTAATTTATTCCGGTGATTGCAGCATCATTACTCCAGTCTTCAGTGTCACATGATCCTTCAGAAATCATTCTAATATGCTGATTTATTATCAGTGCTGGAAACAGTTGTGCTGCTTCATATTTTTTAAACCTGTGATACTTTTTTCAGGATTCTTTGATAAATAAAAAGTTAAAAAGAACAGCATTTATTTAAAATGGAAATCTTTTCGTTTGATCAATTTAACACATCCTTGCTGAAAAAAAGTAATTTCTTTCAAAAAAAGAAAGAAAAAATGGGTAACACTTTATTTTAAGGTGTCCTTGTTACACATTACATGTACTTACTATTATAATAACAATAAATTATGCATAATTATATGCAAGTAACCCTAAGCCAAACACTAACCTTAACCATATAGTACATGGTTAATTAATATTCCTCAGTACTTAAATGTATAATTACACTGTAACAAGGACACCTTAAAATAAAGTGTAACCAAAAAATAATTTTTGAATGATAGTGTATTTTGTTAAAAAAATATTTCTATTTTGAATAAATGCTATTCTTTTTATTCGTCAAAGAATCCTGAAAAATGTATCACAGGCTACAAAAAAGAAAAAAGAACAAAAAATGAAAAAATGAAGCGGCACAAAACTGTTTCCGACACTGATAATAAATCAGCATATTAGAATGATTTCTGAAGATCATGTGACACTGAAGACTGGAGTAATGATGCTGAAAATTCAGCTTGACATCACCGGAATAAATGATGTTTAAAAGTATATTAAAATAGAAAACCATTATATTAAAGTGCAATAATATTTCACAATAATGCTGTTTTTTTTGTATATTTGATCAAATAAATGCAGCATTGATGAGCATAAGAAACTTATAAAAAAAAAAAAGAACATTTAAAAATCTTACTGATCCCAAACTTTTGAACAGCAGTGTAAATTTTGTGAGACAAATTTTAATTATACACAAATATACACATTTTGTTTTATATTTTGTATATATATGTTTCAAATGCCTTAATATCAAATCTGAATATATGGTTCCCTATCGATACTTCACTCGTACTGCGTCTTGCTTAAGGGGAAAACTCCTTTTTCTCCGAATACTGAAGCCTTTTTCAATCATGCAGTGAAACTGCACGGCCATTGGTTCATGCAGTGTATTAAAAACTGGTCTCCCGGTCCCCTGCCGCTATCCGGCGACTGTAAGAGCAAATTTCTAGAGCAAATTTCCAGCATTGTTACAAATGCCGCGTCACTACTGTCGCTCGTGCAGGGCTCCCCTGCACAGCACTGACGGTCACGGCCAGTGCGTTTCATGCTTGGGCGCTGCCCACGCTGAAGCTACACTTAACGAGACGAAATGTCCCCATTGCGAGGATATGAGTCTCTCCCCTCTGCGCTCGCGGATAGCTTTCTTTTCAGAAAGCGACTCCGCCCCTCGCGCCCTCCTGCTTCCTTCCTCCTAGGAACCTGTGAGGAAAAAGCAGCGGGGCAGAGGATCCCGGCTGAGCCCCTGTATGCCTCACTCTCTCCACATAGAGAGGCTTCCCCCGTCCTCTTCTCGCACCCGGACCAGGATCCTTCTGCGGCTGCGAGCGATCTGGTTTCGTTCGGTGGGAGTGAGTGTGACGCCATGGACGACGGTGTGTGTCTGGCTGCCTCAGATACGGAGGAGCTGTCGAGCTCGTCTTTCGACCTTGCCCCCCTGCTGTCTGCAGAGCCCAGCGCTGCCAGCACAGGCATGGACGCCGAACTCTTCCGTGTTCTGTCTAAGGCTGTTCAAGAGTTGGGTTTGGATTGGTCTCCGCTGGAGGAGCCCACCCGCAGCCGCCTGGACGAATGGTTCTTGCCGGGGCGCCGTCAAGCCCCTCGACAACAAGCTTCTCCATTCTTCCCAGAAGTCCACGAAGAGATCACCAGATCTTGGCGCGCCCCCTACTCAGCCCGCCTGCGTACCTCCTCTTCGTCTGCCCTCACTACGGTCGACGGCACCGAAGAAAAGGGGTATGACAAACTGCCACCCCTGGATGAGTCAGTGGCCGCGCATCTCTGCCCGCCCACGGCCATCGGCTGGAAGGCAAAGGTCGCCCACCCGTCCAAGCCGTGCAAGACTAATTCAGCACTTGCTGGAAGGGCCTACTCGTCTGCTGGACAAGCGGCCTCGGCGCTTCACTTCATGGCGGTCCTCCAGGACCTTCAGGCCAAACTTCTCCAGAAAATGGACGAGTCTGGACCGGACCCCGCGGCTTGCAAAGAGCTACGCAGCGCGACCGACCTGGCTTTACGCGCCACAAAGATGACAGCTCAGGTGATCGGTAGATCCATGGCCAGCCTTGTGGTGCTTGAGCGCCACCTATGGTTGACCCTCACAGAGATCAAGGATGCGGAGAAAGTCCCCTTCCTTGACTCTCCGGTCTCCCCCTCTGGCCTGTTTGGACCTGCGGTCGAAGGGTTCGCAGAGCGCTTCACTGCTGCACAGAAGTCGTCCCAGGCAATGCGACACTTCTTGCCAAAATGCTCCAGCTCTGCGACTGCCGCCAGTCACCCCAAGACGGCGCCGACTCAGCAGCCCGCGAAGCCCGCCTCTTCAGCTGCATGGCTGGTCTCTAAGCCTAGCCCCAGCATTGCTCCCGCTCGGCTAGACGCTACCTATTCCCTAAGCGCCAAGGACCCCGGCCCAAGGTAGTGCTGGACCCAGCGCCTCCGGCGTCAACCTGATCCGCGGGACAGGAAGAGGAGGGGGCAAAGTCTCGCTATCGCCGGACCACCCCCAAGCAGCCTCTTTTGTGCCTCCAAGCGCCCCGTTCACTTCCGGGTGCCGATGGCATTGTGTTTGTGGTAAATACTGTTGTGAACCCCGGGCCCGTTCAATTAGCGCCCGCACAACTTTCCGCTGTTATAGCGAGAAAAATAAAACACAAACATTTTCAAAAAGAGAGCAAATTTCCTCTTCCGTATTTCACGAGCGTTGGGTCCCCTCATGGCGGCCTGTCGCTTGAACCAACCCAACCCCTTGCCACGCAGGCCGAGGCCTGGCTAGCCATCCCCGGGGTGTCAAGGTGGGTTCTGGGGATAATAGAACGAGGTTATTCACTGCAATTTGCTCAAAGACCCCCGCGATTCTGCGGCGTGGTCTCCACCTCGGTTCAGAGCGAGGATGCACACGTCCTACACGTCGAGGTGATGAATTTACTGGCAAAAGGATGGCGGCCAAAGGCCCATTCTAGACACCTGAACTGCGCCCTCATGAGACGGCCATTCAGGATGATTACATTGAAGCAGATCCTCTCGCAAGTGTGCCCAGGGGACTGGTTATTTTCGTTGGATCTGAAAGATGCCTACTTTCACATCCAGATAGCCCCCCACCACAGGCGGTTTTTGAGATTTGCCTTCGAGGTAGTGGCATATCACACCACGGTCCTTCCCTTCAGACTGTCCCTAGCTCCACGCACTTTTACGAAGTGCATGGATCCCGCTGAGACAGATGGGAATACGCATACTGAATAATCTCGACGACTGGCTCATCCTCGCCCAGTCAGAGAATGAGCTAGTATCCCACAGATCCTTACTCCTCAGCCACTTACAGCGCCTGGGACTCAGGGTCAATTTTGCCAAGAGCGCGCGCTGTCTCCCAGCCAACAGATATCATTCCTGGGAACAGTTCTCGACTCAGCCCGAATGAGGGCGGTAATCGCGCCAGATCGTTCACTGGCTATACGGCAGCTCGCGGCCTCATTCGAAATTGGAGCCCTTCGTCCTCCCAAGGCGTTTCAGAAGATGTTGGGCCTCATGGCCTCTGCGTCTCCAGTACTTCAGCTGGGCCTGCTTCGCATGCGGCCCCTTCAGTACTGGCTGAAACCATGAGTTTCCGTCCCACGCCTGGCATCTCGGATGCATGCGTGTCAAGGTGAGCCGAGCCTGCGTAGCAGCCCTGGCCCCTTGGAAAGACTCTCAGTGGATGGATCGGGACATGCCCCTTGGTATGGTCTGCAGAAGGAAGGTAGTCTAGACAGACGCTTCCAACACGGGTTGGGGAGCTCTGTGCGATGGCAAACCGGCTTTCGGCCATTGGTTGAAAGAGGAGAGTCGGCTTCACATCAACTGCCTGGGAATGTCGGCAGTATGTTTGGGCCTTCGCACCTTCCTGCCAGACCTAAGGGGACACCACGTGCTATTCCGCTCAGACAGCATGACAGTGGTGTCATATATAAATCGCCAGGGCGGTCTCTCCTCGAAGCGCCTCTTCATTCTGGTAGAGTGCCTCCTGGAATGGCCTCAGCTACACTTGCGTTCTCTAAGAGCAGCACATGTGCTGGGCAAGTTGAACCAGGGAGCGGACATGCTATCCTGGAGCAACGTCCCTTCAGAAGAGTGGATGCTCCACCCGCATACGGTTCAGAGAATCTGGGAGATCTTCGGCAAGGCAGAGGGTTCTGTTGGTGGCCCCGCTCTGGAGGATCCAACACTGGTTCGCAGAGCTGTCTCAGCTGCTTATAGCAGCCCCATGGCCCATTCCCCTGAGACGAGACCTCCTCTCTCAGGCAAACAGAACGATATGGCACACCTAGCCTGAACTGTGGGCCCTGCACCTCTGGCCTCTCGACGGGTGCCTGCGGACCTCCCCGAGAGCGTGCTAAACATGATCTCTCAGGCTAGAGCACCCTCTACAAGGCGGCTCTATGCCCTTAAATGGTCTGTCTTCTCCGCCTGGTCGCTCTAGAGGAACCAACACTGGTTCGCAGAGCTGTCTCGGCTGCTCTCAGCAGCCCTGTGGCCCATTCCCCTGAGACGAGACCTCCTCTCTCAGGCGAACAGAACGATATGGC